AGCTTGCCCCTCCTCTGACCCCATTCTGCTGGCAAAGGATGTGTATTGCTCCTTGACATAGAGCGCCACCCCCCCACCTTTCCTTCCTTCTCTATCCCGCCTGTAAAGCCTGTAGCCCCTAATGCTAACTGCCCAGTTGTGGGATGAATTCCACCATGTTTCTGTAAGCCCTATTATGTCTGGGTTTGAACTGGCTATGATGAGGAGTTGAATGAGGCATGGCCTCTGACGGAGAGACAGGGAAGTAGGAGGCTGGTAATAATGACCAAGAGGGAAAAGGAAGGCTTCCAGCAGAGGGAGGAGTGTGCTCAGAAAGAAGTGGTTGGGGCATGGCAGCAAAAGGCATTTCAGAATGAGTCTTAAGCATAGGAGACAAGGAAAGGGGGAAGACAAGACCCCCAGGCAGAGGAGAAAGGATTCAAAGGCAGTATCAGATGGGATGTTTCCTCTATGTAGCCCTTCACATAGGTCTGAGGGTGAAGGGGAGAAGAAATTAGAAAGCTGGAGATGGAGAAGCTTGTTGCAATGTGGAATGCTGACATGCACTGGCTACTATTAGACCCGGACTCTATGCACTGCCCAACAGCTAGGGAGACGACGATCCAATTGCTCAGGGAGCAAACACCAGCACGCATTGCTAGCAACAGCTTTATTCAAAATGGAGACAGCTTCGGGCAAAGGTCCAACAAACAGGGGACCTGCAGTGAACATTACTTCTTTCCAAACTTACACGCCTTGGTTTATACTCATTAACATTTACTCCACCCTTGTTCTTCCTTTGTTCCACTCATATTCCCTCCTATCTTAAGCTCCACCTCTGTTTACTGTTTGTTTGATTAGAATGGAATTGCCCATGCATTTTATTTATTTACATGTCCTTTTGCTATAAGCACATGTCTAAGACCTTGACTCTACTTCTTTGGTCACTGGGTGGACTTCTACCAAAACCTGGAAGCTTCTGGAGGCTTATTTACCGATCATCATTCACCTTTTGGCATATGTTTATCTCAGATTTTGTTACTAATTATGTGTTGTCTTTCACATTCAAGTCTGTTTTTCAGTCCTAGGTTGTACCATCTCCACATTTCTACAACTTCACCTCATTCACAGCACATGGATTTACACAAACTCACTTGAAAATGGTTGACACAGTTAAGATCATTACTTAGCATAAGCAAATGGTTGACTTAGCATAAGCATTCATAAACAAAATGTGCTTTACCTCCTAATGATACATAATGAACTATATGTCTTACAACACTACTATATTGTTAAGAAAATGCTTGCCTAAGCATCTTGCAATGTTACTTTTAATATATCATTCTGCCTTGTGGTTAGCAGCTCTGCTAGTCCACAGGTTACAGCCTTTTATTCAGCTGCAAATCCAGTGCTCCCCAAGATCCAGATACAGTCACCATA